CAGTCCGAGACATTCGAGAGAGGACTCCGACAGGATTCATTGACGACACGCAGATGGATCAGGATGAGAAGTCTGTCAAGTTCAAAAATGGTGTGTCATATGTGCAAGCAGCTAGTGCAGCTGCCTTGCCTGAAAACGCAAGGGCAATCAGGGAGCGGGAGTTGACGGGCTACGTGTCAGAATTTGCAGTTGCCGGAGGGCATGCCGACAAACTTGTCAGTTTCGATCAGAATGTTGACACACTTGAGGCAGCTAGCAAGTCTTGTGAAGGCACTGGTGCAAGACGCGACATCCGCGAGAGAACGCCCACAGGCTATGTTCAAGACCAGGAGGATGGTGCCTTGTCCGTGGCTTTTAAGGAGGAGGTTTCCTACGTGAAAGCTGCCAGCATATCATCTACAGAGGCGAAACGGATAAGAGATCGCGTTCCCACTGGATACATCTCTGACATGGTGGAGCCGATGCTGCGTCCCAGCGGTTCTGTTAGCTTTGCCGTGCATGTTGATGACGTGGATGCTGCGAGCAGAGGATGCGTTGGCCAAGCTGCCGACATTCGCCACCGCGTACCAACCGGCTTCATTCATCTTGAAGAAGTCCTTCCTGGGGAGGTGCGCTATGATTGCATGAGCAAATGCCAAAATCCATAGTGTATAAGCGTAGAGATGAAGGCTGATGCATGAGGCTCAAAGTTATGGCCACTTCTTGAATTTGTGCAGCGATCAATTGGCAAAGCAAGGTGTCATTGCAGAGCCTGGAGCGGAGGGCTTGGAGCATGCATGAGTTGAACGGTCATGGTGACCGGATAGTTTTGTCTTGAGAGTCTGCATTCACTGAGGAGTGAGGTCAACGGTGAAGCCAGCTTACCTGATGGAAGGAGACCACGCAATGCTGTACCGACTTGCACAAATTGTTAAGCATGGACAAGCGCATTGCAACGAGATGCCATAGCGTCAGGACTGTCAGCTTCCGACCTGCTAGCCTGGTTGAGTTTGATAACGTCTCTCCGTTGTCAGATGAGGCCGGGGGTTGGAGCGTAAGGCAGCGCAAGGATGTCCACAGCTGCAGGATGCAAAGGTGAAGAGGAAGCTTCCGCTCAAGTCAGTGCGCGACCGCCAGCAGACAAGCTGGGAAATAGCCTCGGCATTTGACATTTGCGTTCTGCAGTAGTGGGTGTGCAGCGTCAGAGATGCGTCTAGAGACGAGTCAGAGGTGGCTTCAGTCCCTTCTGACGAGAAATCCGTTCGGTTCAAGGTGAGGGTCGATATGTCAGCAGAATGAATGACAGCTGCCTTGAAACAGAAGACTTCACGACAGGATGTGCCGACAAGCCCACCCGGCAACAGGACATGGCATGGTGAATGCATGCTGCTGCAACAGATGAAAGAGTTAAAGAGAGAAAGGCTGGCGTGCAAATTTGGCAGGATGGGGTCGCCGGATCAATCTTCGGCAAGCAAGTCTGATTCGCAAGTGACCGATGCAAACACTGCCAGCACAAAGTCAAGAGCGTCTGAGGCCGGTGTGGCAAAAATAAGAGCGGTAGGATGGCCCCTAACCGGATTGGCCCCTAACTGGATTTGCGCTCGTTCAACCGTTTGCTGAATGGCTACATGCAGCCGTGTTTTGCGCAGGGAAGCAAGGGACGAGGTTTGGAAGATGATCCTCCGAGCGATGTTGGAGAGCTCAGGGACGTTCGGACACGCATGTATGTGTCAGCATTTCGAACGCGTTTGCGTTGTCGTCTAAGGCGGAAACTGTCTCCAGTGCAAGCTCAAGAAACCCAAGATCCAGAATGACCACCCCCTTCATGTCAGTCACTGGTCAAAGAACGGGTCTGCGCTGGTGACTGTCAGAAGTCAGAAAGCATTGAATCAGCCATCTTGGCCCAGGCTGTTGATTGGGGCTACGAAGTGAGCGTCCCTTCAAAGGAGGTCAGGAGCCCAAGCCAACATCATCGGGAATTCGTCATTCAATTCTACTGCGGCGATGGGCGCAAACAGGCGGGCGATAGCGTACCAAGCTCTAACCGACGCCGGAGGCCAGCAAAGCATCGCTTTGCAGTTTTGCAGCAGCAGCATTTCTGGGCCAGACGTTTCTTGATGCATCGTCCAGGTCCAAACCCTCGACCTTGGAGCCGGGCGCTCAGTGTTGCACAGCAAGCCCGTGCCAGTGCCTTCACTGCTGATACTTGCTGCTATACTTGTGCTGTGTTTTGCTACTACCGCAGCCGTCTTCAGGAACAAGCCCAAAAAACACTAACGCTAACCACTACTATAACTAACACAGGGGCCGAAGCTTGCCCAATTCTGTTTGTTCCTGAATTGAGAGCCGGCTCGGCTCTGTGATATAGGATTCTCAATTGCGCGTATCAGACCTGCTTCAGCTTGTTGCTGGGATGTGTTTCTCAATTCCTTGTCTGCCACTATGACTGTATTGCTTGCGCCATCTTGCGCCTTTCAATGCTTATGCTAAGGAAGGCAGGGACAACAATCTTGAATGGGGGCTTGTAGTGCTCGACTTTGCAATCGCTTCCCCCAAATATTGAACGACTTCCTCAACATTACTCCTTGTGACTAGTGCAGGGCTTGCGCAAACGCAGTCATGCATATTTCTCAACTAGTTCCTTGCAGTTTTCGGCTTAAGTGCCAGCCTAGCATGCCCCTGCCCTACCCCTATGTGTGGGCATGCCACGGGCATGGCTGTCGCCGACCAGGAGACCCTGATGCCTGGAAGGGCACGGATCTGGCGGTGGGGGACTACATCGAGGTTGGCCCCTACGACAACACATACTGGTATGTGAGGCAGGGGACTGTGTTGGCCAGGTTGGGTAAGGTCGACACCCGGACCCGAAAAGGGCAGTGGGCGGAAGTTACCTTCTTGGCAGTCTCTGATGAGCACCTCACTTGGTGGCTGGATTATGGTGGCAGGAAGGACGACAACTGGCAATTTGAGCTCCACATTTGTCCTGGAGCCAACCGCAGGGCCTTTGACTTCCACACAGACCGCCTCAGAGTGGTCACACTCGGGGACCTCGCCGTTAAGAAGATTGAATGGGTCGCGAAGAGCCCTCACCAGCGCTATGTCAAGGATGAAGTCTCTCGAATGGCTGGAGGAGACGAGCCAGGTGGTCCTAACGCCAGCCCCAGCACCAGCTGGCAAGGCGGCGGCCGGCATCGGAGACGAGGGCAAAGACGATGTTTTGGCCAAGCTCAGCCAGCTGGAGAAGCGCAAGCCAGAAGCAAAAGAAACGGCTACGGTCGAGACTCCTAAAGGGGAGGACTCCAAGAAGGAGAAGAAAATCAAGAAAGGAAGGGTCCTGACCCGAAAGAAGACCCCTGAGGGAGGTCAGCCGGCCGGATGGTTTGGCAAAGAGGACACTCCACCGGATACGTCCAAGAGTTCGGAGACCACAAACCCCTCTAAGGAGGAGAAGCGGGATACGTCCCAGACCAAAAAGAAAAAGAACAAGAAAATGAAGAAGCAGAAGGAGCCAGGAGCAGATTGCGGTCCCTTTGGTGTTGGGGCGAATGTGACCTATGGAGCAAAATTTCATCCAGCAACTCCTCGGATGAAGAGACCTGTTTTCGCGCAGCCCCCTCCTCCCGAAGCGGGGGAGACGCGCCGCTCCGCTACTGCAGCGAATGCAGACCTTGGTGGCCAGGGAGGGCGGGGCGACATGGTTACATCACCAAGGAACGAAGACACGCCCCGTCGCCTCCAACTGGGTCCTGGAAATCCTCGCGCCAAATCTAAGGCACGTGCTCTACGTGAGGGTGATGAGGGAGATTCGCACGCTCGCCCTTGCACTGGACCAGATCGCAGCCGGTCACCGCCCGGCCGCCGCAGACACCATAGCCGCTCCATAGCCCAGCGATGACGGACCAAAGCTGGGGCAGGGCTCAATACATGGAGCTGCTGGATTGCGAGGGCGCGACGCTGGTCGAGAGGGACGAGCAGGTCATGGCATCGAAAGAGCTGTCCGGCGAGTTAAAGATGAGGAAGCTCAAGAACCTGAGAGGCAAAGGGGCCGGAAAGACAGACCAGAAAGGAGAGCAGCGCGAAGATCCGAAAGGGGGGAAAGAAAGGCGAGAAGAAAGGGCAAAGAGAAAGCCCCGCTCGAGTGAAGGAGGAGGTTGACTACTCTCCCGATGTTGCTCCGCCACCTACAAGTGAGATTCCGCTCAAGGGCGAGAAAGAAGAGGCGAGTCCGGCCTCTTTGGGGGCTGCTCCAGAGCCTCTCTTATCCGCGGCGGGGGTCCTTGCCTTGCTGGCATGTTACTCCGGCGTGCTCATCGCATTGGAACCAGCGTGCGCCTGACCCACCACGGTGGAACGTTGAGGCCAGCAGGCCTTGCCTTTATCCGGCTTTCCGACGGCTACGGCGCGATGTCCTCAGCTACAAGTGGTCCCAGGAACAGCGCATCAATATCTCGGAAGTGACAGCCTTTCTGGTCGAGCTTCGCCGCAGGACAAGGACCCCGCTGAGCATGGAAAGCGGTTCTTCAACATCCTGGATTCCCTTGTTGCCTTCTAATTACGTTTTGTCGAAAGGCCGGTCTTCTTCGGGCCGCCTCAACCGCCTTTGCCGCCGAGTGACAGTGCTTGACATCGCCGCAGCAGTGATCCCCATCTCTTTCTGGACCATCTCCAAGTGGAACTTCTCTGATGGTGCGTCGCGCAAATACGGGAGGGCGTAACCACCTGCGCTTCTTGGGGATCACTGCAAAGAGCAGGCGATGTTACCAAAAATCAGTGGCGGCTTTCTTTCACTATTCTCGCGCCCTACGGGGCAGGCTACCTTAAACAATGATCGAGCTGGACGAAGAGCTGGCAACGTGTGCATTTCCCAGCCCATACCACACCTTTGTCGTGGTTGGGGGCTCGAGCTATGGCCGCAGCAGCCTTCAAGGTGGGGCGGATTAATTTGGCGACGCTGGTTTTCACTGGCTTCGCCTTCTTCTTGAGGACAATGGAACTTCTTTCGCTTCACTTTCACCATGTTCATCTTTTCCTGAACAAGGTACAGTCGTAATCGCCATTCTTGTTGAGTGCGGGCACGCATTTGAGCTGCCCTGCACACAACTTGAGGCCATGGCATGTCATGGCCAGTGCTGATCAATGCTGACTCTAAGTGTGGAGCAGCTACAAGACGTTTCAATATCTAATCAGGACTTCATAATGCTCTTCTTAGCTTTCGACGGTTCGTGTTTTGGATTTCTCAAGTTTCCAACATCCCAGAAACTGCTATCCCCCTTAAGGAAATGTTGTGGGATAATCATAGTAGCAGGTGAGCTGAGCTTGGATACGCTTTAGACGTGGAATGTTATTCGCGCACCAGGAACCAAGTAGCGTGATGCTGTCCCCGATCTGCACATCCATAGCATGCCGGTATTGCAGGATACCTTAACTAACCACATCTTACAATTCTGCGAAGAAAACTCAAGCTGAGGAGAAAGAAGGTCTCGTTCCCAACAAACAACTTGTGCCCGCTTCGCCGCCAAGGCCATATTCTTCCGCAACCGATCGCAACCTCGTGAAGCAGGTTGGGATTCAGCTGCAAGCAGTTACAGGCGATGAAGTTGTGGCTCGAAGTTTTCCCAGGCAGCGTGTGTTAGGCAAGGCCGCAGACTCACAGACGAATAGCAAGAAAATCTGAGAGTAACAAGTGCAGTTCTGGATACGTGTCCGGGCGGAGGGTACAGAAAACACCATAACCGGCCTTGGCCAGTGCTGGCCGCGAGTGAGTCCGAGATATCAACAGGGCATCAGGAATCTAAAGTCGACTATGAAGGCAGCTGCGCGGATGCAACCTATGAGTATTTGGAGCCAGCTTGTTCGTGACAGGATCTCAAAAGATCTGGTGCACCAGGGTCTTCGGGTGAGTTACTGACGGTAGCTAGTTGCTGGACGGCAGGAGTGAAGGCCAGGATCACTGCACCCATCAGGAGTAGTAGTAGTAGAAACAGAAGCGGGGGCAGCAGATGGTGGAAGTGTAGCTGGACAGCAGCATCGTGCTAGGACTGTCACTCAGCAGATGGCGGTTGTTGTCGAGCAGCCGCTGATGTTGCTGCCACCGCCGCCGCCGCCGCCGCCGCTGCTGCTGCTGCTACTGCTGCTGCTGCTACACGTGCTGTTTGCGGTGGGCACTGTAGAGGTCATAAGAGTGGCAGCTTGACTCATGAGCTGCCAAATTAACATGCGCCGTGCAAAGACCTCCCACGTAAATTGAAGGCCCAGGCACAGACGCACGCGAGGCACAAGCTCAACCAGAATCTTTTCTTTAGACAGGCGCAATTCTTTGAATGTACAGTGCCCCAAAGCCAACGCAAGCTTTGGAAAGATCCGCACCGTGAGCGCAGTTGGCTTTTTGATGAATTGCTAGCTATCAAACTTTGATGCCATGAAAACTCGGATTGCGTCTGGCCAAGGGGGCAGGGCTGGGACGGTCTTGATGGCTGTCGCGCCTGCTTGAAGATTTTGGACACATTAGCGAGACTGAAAGACACCTTGTAAAACGGTGGAAGAGAGCTGTTGAGCGACTGTGGGATGCTTGGGGTGCGTCATCCTGATTTGGCTGCTAGCAACCTGAAGCTGTAAAGTGTGAGACTTGGCAGGTTCAACACCTTGAGGTAATAGACATCTTATTAAGGAACACGTGGCGGCATGCCATCCAAACCCGATGCGGTCTTGAAAGAAACCATTAATGTGTGTGTCGAGAGATCAAGCGTATGAACAATATTAAGGTAAGCTCGGTGTATGCCCAACGGAAAATGTTTCGCTGTGCTTCTGAAACAGGTCAGCATTGAGTCCAGCATTGAACGAGAGATTACCGAGCGCGTCAAGCTAAATGCCCACAGCTCAGGTCTGGATACTTCAGACTAGTTTGCTTTCACATTGTGCACTGTTTCTGGGGGTACGTAGCGCTGCTTAGCCTTGAAGTTAAGTGTCTGATTTGATTTAAGATGTGATGAGTTGTGCAAGCTGTTTCGATGAGGCCCAGCGCCAAGCACGGGAGGAACGCTTAGTGCAAGTGGGCAGTGCGGATGCAAATGTGCAGATCTTACCCACTTCCCTGACCTGTTTCAGATCGACGGCCTCTTCGTTGTGTTGCTGAGGTGCCACTGGCCCTTGAAAGGTGCTCATCGGCGGATGGTGGAAATCCAGAAGCTGACCTTGCAAACCACATTGTCACTCGCCGGCCTTTTTCCCTTTGTCTTGTCAAGGTTCTCCGGCACTGGTACTGTCGTGTTTTGCTCTCCTGCCTTCGGCTAGTGTAGGCATACTGGGACTGCTCATTGAATTGCAAGATATTCCCGGTACCATCAAAGATCCTATTCAAGGCATTTGTTGTAACACGACTGTTGCTGCTGGGAAATACACGCAGAGCTTACAGCCAATCTTACTATTGTCTTCGTTTTCCGCATGAGCCCACTCCACGCCTCCTCTCCAGTTGCAGTCATTTTGCAGAAGTCAGGATTTCCCAATGTCTTGCGGAGTTTGAACATGCCCAAGCAAGGGGACATGGTTGGTTGGGGGGGCACTAGAACTGGTAGTCTGGTACGCTATCAGCTCTAGTGCTATTGCTAGTATTGCGACATGCATTCGAAAACCCCAAATCAAACCAGTGCCCCTTAGTAAGTATGAGCAGGGACTCCAATTGGCACCATACGGCATGACCTGGACTTATCAGGCCAGCCAAGCAAAATGCCTCTGCGGCGCATCCTGACCGGCACTGCACTAAGGGGCCGTGCCACAGGGACCACCTAGGGACCCAGGATGAATCAATTGAGCGCAATTGAATGTAAACAGGTAAATCGGTGGATTACTGGGATGACCCAGGACTACTGGGGCAAACCTCAAAGGAAAAATCTCCAAAGTCCTAAACATCCCTGGACCACTTGGACGACCCATGACTCATTGGGCGAGTCTGAGCATCTCTAAACTCTAAACCCTAGAGAACACAGGTCGAACAACAACAACAACAACAACAACAGCAACAGCAACAGCAACAGCAACAGCAACAGCACCCATAACAACCTGAAGAAAGTATCCAACGCCTCGTAGCGTGCGATTTCTTCGCCGTTGTCCAGGTGGGGGTAGGCGCAGTAGAACATGTAGTCTTGCTTGCCAAGTCAAGTCTGAGATCAAATTTGAAAACAATCAAATCAACTCAAGCTGGTCTTTGAAACTGTCCGCAAACTGGGGCAACTCAACTAATGATGTGTGGCAACCATGGTCTGAAAACTTATCAGCAAATCTAGATGTCGTTGGACTGGTGTACATGTCCGGATCAGAGCAACATGTCACTGAACTGATGTACATGTCTGAAGCAGCAACCACACTTGACCACATGTTCGCCACCACTGGCTTCCGGAATAGTCTAGATAACAACAAGGCACTCACGAAGCAATAGCATCAGGTCCACAGCATAGCAATGAATATCATTTGTCACTTAGTAGGTACGTGGACTGTGCCTCCCAATCCCTATCACGACAAAACGCAAAAGTCTTCGTTGGGCAGCGCCTTCCAGAATGTCCACTGCCCCCCTTCTTCATGACATGTTCAGAAAATTTCAGAAAGTTCTCAAGTCTGCAGTCGACTCCTAGGTCCGATTTCAGTCGGAGGTGAACTACAGCAACAGAAATTGTTGTGGCTTTAGTTGTTCCCCTTGCCAAGGTGGCAGTCTGCATGTTATTCTGCAGGGCTTCCAAGCCATAGAAGATCCTGGCGCAAACTGCAAGAACTCGCGTGCCACGACCAGACATGCGTGTGCACTCTTGCAAACACAATTTCAGATGTATCAATTACTAGCTAGCCCACAGCTCACCGCCAGCCCACAGCCATGAGCCATATGCCGCCCATCCAGCCGCTGTGCTTTTTTACTGAGGAGAGAACCCAGACGTTCATCAGTACGTACTTCTGTTATGATCAAGAACAAAAGTTAATCCCAATTCTTCAGTACTAAAGGGGGTCCCCCCACGAATAATGTCCGAACCCATTCTTCTAACGACACGAAATGATCCGAAAAAGGAAACGTAAATCATACTAGGTACAGGTGGTGCACCTACAAAAGAGTAGGAAGAGCTGACTAAGAGGTAAGAGCAAGAGCATGCCTTAGAGAAAATAGATTAGACTTGAATTCGAGTTTGTTAGAACTTGAATCGGTTCTTATTAAATTTCAAAAGGGCTTTAATCTAATGTTAATTCACTTTGAACAGATGTCAATGGATTTTCGTTTAATTTTGATTGTAAAAAGGTTTAGAAAGCAATGACCTTGAAAACAGCTGTTATTACTCTAGGGATTTTCCATCGATGCAAAAATCGAAAGGCCCAAAATGAGTTCTTCAAATTTATAGTGTTTTACCAATGTTGAGCTCGCATTGTTTCCATGATATTGCCATTGCTGCAGCTACAGTTGCTGCTGCTGCTGCTGCTGCTGTTGCTACCATTACTAGATTTACTAGTATTTGTGAAAAGTGCCAGAACTAGCACCAACACAAATGCCAATACTGCAACCAGAGAAAACTGCAATGATATGGATACAGTACCCATGCTGCTGCAATGATGATCACGACGACTGCAAAAACTTCTGCTGCTTGTGCTTGTACACCTGTGACGCTCCTACTGCTGAATCTGTGCCAACCCTGACAGTTGTTGGGGCACGATTGTAGCAATCAAATTTGATGATTCAAGTCCAAGTGAGGTTTTGCACAAGCCGTTCCCAGGTTCCGGATGCCGTGAAGGATACAGAGTTGCTTCGAAACACATTGCGCCAGTCTCTAAGCGTGGTTTGATTACAAGGCATGCAGGGCAGGGCCGGGAAAATTGCCGAAGGCAACTTGGCTTTCTTTGAGACCTTTGACGATGATGCGCTCCATTGCTTGATCGAGGAGATAGCAAGCATGCTTGAGTTTGGTGGGGTATAAAGGCTTATCCTTCTGAGTTGTTTCGCACTTCTCGCAGGCAATGGAAGTCTACGAGTTCCAGCACAGTGAGAAAGTTGTACGTCAGGGTGACACCGATGGTGCGCAAAAGCGATGAAGACTTTGTACAAAGACAGGGATGGATGCCTTGCATGATCAGGTACGCACTTCTTTGTTGTGGCACAGGGTGAGTTTTGTGTCCTCAAGGACAATAACCCGCACTGTTACATTGGGCCAGGAGCTTTTAGCAAAAGTATAGGCAATCCTTTTGGGATATCTGCTTTCTGAGACCTGGGACATCTTTTGGTGAGAGTGTGCTGCTGCTCTTCGGTGAGCGGAATGCCACTGCGACAAGCTCAAGCTGTCAAGCGTGTGTTCCAAGCCCAAACCAGAAGTCCTGAGGTTTGTGCGAGAGGATGTGCTGACCTTGGCTGTTGGTAGCACAGTGGTAAAACTGAGCATGGCCACCCAAGCGTTGACAGGTCCTCGTGACTAAGAGACCGCAAGAGTTGGGTGCTGAGAGTTATGCTCAGGTGCCCGTGCGTATGGCATGGAGGGTATGCAGGACGGGCGCGCAGCGCAGTTGGGAAGTGGTATGAATTGGCGATCTGATTCCCAGAGAGGTCCGGGAGTTGCTGAGCAAGCAATACGAGCAAATGAGACGCTCGGTCGTTGAAGCCACGGATGAGGCCTTGCACCGGGTGCAGCTTTTCCAGCCGTGCATGTCCTCGAAAAGTCGCCTGAGGTGCTGAAATCCAATCTCTGTGAGATTCTGCACGATGCCAAGTCTCCGTTCCGTGCCTTGAAGTCTCCTCTCTGACCAGATGCAGGTCTGGCCTCAATGGATATGAGCTTCAAAGCTTGTACGACCAGGCCTAGCCAGCTACCATGTATGTGGAATCGGCCTGCATACCATGTGTGTGCCAGTGGCGTAAAATCTTCTTCCGAATTTTCTTCGGACTCCTGTGAAGAAATTCTCATCTCTATATGGCAAGCTTTCACAAGAACGGGGCTTGGCCTCCAATGCAGGTCTGAAAAAAGAACAAAACTGGTGGCTGAGAGCGCTTGGGTGCAGCTTGGGTTGTCATATCCTTCGTTGCGCGCCATATCCATGGTATTACGCTGCCTCGCTGCAAAAGAACAGGCTATGTGTGGCAGCCGGGCATTCCTGTTCTTCTGTCGTCTTCATAGAAGCTTGACCGCGCCGTTGTCTTGTGCAAAATTACACTTGCTCATAGACCTGTGGCAATGAAGTTGGTTTTGGACATGCAGCAGGCATGACACAGATGATGGTGCTCGTTTGTGCATGCCCATAATTCGGCATACAGTGAAGATGTTACCTGTTGCAATCCCATTGTGTCTACCACGACATGTGCTCGGCAGGTTGAGATGAGAAGTTTCGAGCAAGGAGATATCATCTTGAGCGAGGGAGATTCTCCCAAGGAGGTACCGTGCAATGCAACAGAGCTTCAGGCAAAAAAAACACTTAAGATGCAGTGGCAGGTCCTAATTCTTTACAGTGGCCAAGTGGAGTCATGGCAAGAGCCTGAGTCACTGTGACATGCTGTGGTCCTGCATGGACATGAAGGGCTGATTCTTGTGGGACTTGTTTTGCAAAAACGTCTGTCACTTTCAATGGATTGGCTTTGAAACTAATGACTGCTGGGCTTCTTAGCCTCTGGTTCTCTTTGACACCTGGGTTAAACGATCCCTGTCATAACTAACAATCACTACCATCACTCCCTCCACTGCTGCTGCTGCTGCCACTACTATACCATACTATCTATACATATTAATGGCTAGTACTGCTACCACCATTATCATTATTATCACTACTTCTGCTAGTATGACTACCTTCTGCTACTACTACTACTACTACTACTACTATTACTATTACTATTACTATTACTACTACTACTACTACTACTACTACCACCACTACTACCACTACTATCGCCATTATTGCCACCC